TTTGATTGTTCAGGTGACTTACCGCATTTTATGTTTTCTGCTTGAAAAACTTGTTATGAATCCTCTCGCTAACACCCTATTGGAGACTGGGAAGTATATTTTCCACGGTCTTATAAAGGGTTAAATAATAAAGAAGATAAACTGAAAGTTTCATGCGATTAGACCGAGCTCAGTGAGGAAATCCTGATGTTTCCTTTCAATTTCACTTCCCTCGGCATCCTCCTGGAACTCTTGAAAAAGATTTTCTGAGGTAACGAGGAGACACTTTTCGTTCCGCTCGAAGGGAAATGATTCACATTTACACTAATAACTTCTCGTTGATTCAATAAGAGGTAATCGGCGAGAGAAAGCGGAAATGAGAAATTCTTCGCGGGAAAGGAAGCATGTAACTTTAATGTATCAATCTACACTCGTTTGCACAATATAAATGTACTTTTCTTGAAATTTATGTGATTCGCTACTGCATAGAATTCCTACTGCTTCATTATAATTACACATAACGTTCGCCAAGCGAACTCGATGGAAGGGAAGTTGAAAAATGTAAAAAAAAACCTTTGGAAAATGGTCAGTTCATTAAATTTCCATTCATAATCGTGACTATGTAAATTGCAGATGTTTATGCGAATTCTCTCACTTCTGGGCGAATCTTTCGCGACAGAAATTACGTAAATTTTATTTTCTGTGGTAGTAGCTGCGGTAAATGAAAAGTAATTTAAGACACTATTAAATTCCGTTTAACTCAGTCTCTTACTGTTTTAAGTGTCTTCCACGAGCTATAAACGCTTAAAGGTCTGATCATGATCCAGCCATCGCGGCTGATCGTAAATCCTTTCGAAAACAGTTCTTCGTGGAATAAGAAAGACATAAAGTTCGGGTGCAAACCAATGGCGACTCTTACAAAATAATGAATAGCCACAGACCCGCCCATTTCTCATTTCTCGCACGCGTATGCGCGCTACAGATTTCAACTCTGCTTGGTAGAACTAAAGTGTCTGAGTAAAAAATTATGGCCACCACTAATGTCATCTTTGAGAAAGATCAGCCGCGAATCAGCAGTCTGATCCTTGTCTGGTCGTTTCCTCGTATTAATATTTCGTAATTCAGGCTTAATTTCTTTGTTTCACCCTCTATAAGCCGAATTATTTTCGTAATTATAAACAAATGTATGTAGTACAAAATTAACGAATACCAACCTGTAAATACAAATTAACAATATATTCGATAGTTCCAATAATTGTATTAAAACGAATATACCTTGTAATTTTGAAATTACTGAACATATACAAGTTGAACTCAATTAATTACTTAATTTCATTCGCCACTTTACTATGCAACATGAAATAAATCAACGAGATGCCAATATATTGGTACGTAACTTCAAAGTCACACGACTCTATAAAGAGTTCATTTGCAGCTGTAGGAAAACAGTTCTAAAATTAAATGGCATTAAATTTTAAATGAAAAAACTGGAATAAAAATTAAAATCTGCGTAATAATATGTGTAAAAATAGGATTTGTCGAGGATACATTATAATAATGTGTTCCAAGTCTAAAGAGGTCAAGACTCGTTCGATAAAAATTTACGTATAAACCAAAATTCTTTTTGCGAGCCCGCGTCCATTTGAAAAATAAAGAAATTTCGACGCGTGTCAGAGAAGAATGGCGCAGCAGGACGCGGAGCGATATCTTTTCCGATGTTCGTCCGGTTCTGCGCCGGTAACCGCTCACTCGAGAGGAGAATTCTTCGCGTTACGACTGGAAATGTACCGAGGGAACTAAGCACCTTATCTACGATGCACAGACGACCGCGTGGATTTTACCGTCGACGATTCACGTGAGACGGAAAAAAACGTTCTGTCCAACATGGGCCCGCATCTTCGCATTATGTATTTATATTAATGTTCGTGCGTTACATAATACGCGCCATTTTATAGAAAATGTCGCTGAATAATAAATGCAAACAATTTCAACTAATAGCACACCTATCCCTCCGTTCTCGCGGCGCTTATTGTCGCGTGAGTTCCTTTTTACGCGGTGAATTATAACCTAGAACATGTAACACTATTTACGTGATATTTCTGAGCATTAAACGCGTTCTAATAAATTGCTCTAGTTTCTCCTCTGAAAGAATCCGTTGTAATATTAACCCTTCACACTCGAGAGACGACTCATAGCCGCCATTTGATTTGACATAGAAAAATGATAAAATTGTATATTCAACATCAAATTTTATGTAATGCAATTGGACATAAAATAATGAAATAAAATAGTTCTATCGCTCGTGAATTATTTCTATTTAACACTAGAACTGCCGAATGGGTCATTTCGAATTATTCTTTTATAATTATTGAAAAGATGGCAGATGCTTCTTTGCGAAATTACTGAAGAAATTGATTTAGTAACATGCAAATTGAATCATAAGTCATTTGAAATCTCAATAGCTATAGTCTTAGAGTCCCTATAGAAAAATTTGAAAACTTCAATTTGACTACTCGGTAGTCTTAGTGTTAATATCATCAGAAATCTCATCAGTATTTCATTACAAAATTATGAATATATACAGCAGAAAGACTTTCGAGTGCAAAGGGTTAAAGCGAGTATGAAAACTAACCTGAATGATACCAATAGTGTCCATAAGGTATTAAAGTTCTTCAATTAAATAAACTTACTAAGTTCGTTATAATCCTGAAATCTGTAAATTATACATTTATTGTACGGTTACTCTGTTCTACAAGTTGTATATTCTGTAAATACTACGTGTATACATTGCAAACATTGTACCAATTATTTATATGACTGCTATATTATTACACAATACGTAATTATGCATTCAACTGTTGGCGATCATTAATGATTTCACTGTTAACGTGACCACCTTAAAATAAACACGAATTAATAAATAAATATTTGCGCGATATTGTTTATACGTGATATTAATTTACGTGATCTGAATTCAGTGACTGCGAACAAAATTTACTTTTGTTGTTTGAAATGGCATTATTATTACTTTGAGCTTTGTAAAATAAATGTGTATTTCCGTAGCTTATACCAGCTTTTCTTTGGAATATTTTGTTTCCCTTTGTACTGGCAGACTCTATTTACGCAATTTTCATTCGCATAAAACGAATCCTTGCGGAACGGATACTCCCCGTAAATGGAAGGACGAGTGTAAGTAGGTACTTAAGAGAAACCGATTAATATTTAAATAGGAAAAATGAAATTCCCGGAAGTAATGAAAGGCAATTGGTGTAAACACGTAAAAGGGGTCTTGTCGCGAACACAGGGAAATTAAGGTAGATAAGGTGAACGATTAAAGTACGGACAATAGTGAGGAAAAAGAACTGGGTATTACTGTGATAAAAGTTTATTCAGGTACTTAATTAAACAAACGTTTATTCTGTTTTCTACTGCTTTTATTAGATACTATAGTTTAATTAATGGGACCTATGAAATATTACTAATATAATCATTATTGGTAATATTAAGTATCGTAACAAATTCAATGTAACTGGGTAAAAAAAATGTTAATGAATAATTCGAATAATTCTATGAAAACAATGTTATATTTGTAACAACAGAAAATATTTGTATTGTGTTTTAGAATTTGGTATAAATCGATTCTGACTTTCATATTGAAAAATATTGTAAAAATGTGTCAAAGAGGTAATGGAAGTATGCATATATGTTTCGTGCTTCAGGATTTTGTATAAACCAATATTCATTTTTATATAAAATAATATTGAATTAAAGAATTGAAGAGATGATGGATATAAAAAAAAGCATACGTATGTCATCCGTTAAAACTACATGAAAAATATTAGCGACGCAAAAATTAAAAGGCATTACTTCATTTTTCAGAAAAAGAGATAAAAATTATTCGGATATTATGTATGCTCACTTGGAGTTTCAGACAAGATAATCCTAACTGAAGCCTCTGCTTAATTACTTTTTTTTATGCATTCGAGCGTGGAATAAATACACAAGCATCCTTAATCTAGCGATTATGTGTGAGTTCACGGATGAAAAATTATCCCGTTAACAAGTTGATTTATTAGTAACTTTCCATAACTCCAGAGAAAGGAATATAATTCTCGTTTCGCTGTTTTCCAATTTCCCGTCACGTATTCAGTGAATGCGTTGCCTGAAGACCATTATTGAATATCATTCTTCCATTTCATATAATGTTGCTTTCGGAAGGAATATACAAACGGAATCGCAATAAATTTCCCAAAATATCTGATCAGAGTTAATCTTTTCACCGGATAATTTTCGGATTCTCACGTAAATAAAATTAGTCATAAATAACAATTATGCATGGCAAAGTTATCCCATGGTTAACGTAAGTATTGTCCATCTTCTAAAACTATAAGTACAACGATGAAACTATATTTAGGAATTTTCGGGTAAGGAAATGGAAAAACAAAAAATCATTGAAACATATAAATTTATTTATATACATATGTCTTGCTCCTTTTCTGTTTTCTTCTTATTTCCTTTTCTTAATCATCTTGTACAATAAGCTTATTCTTCGTTTATTAAAGGGTGTTGCCCATTTAATAAATATATTTCTATCGTTACTACCATTATCGTTATCGTTATTATTACAAAAGAGTTGTTCATTCGACTTCCAAAATTAACAAGTTACCGATTTAACAATTATTCTAAAAGATGTCCCATTAAAACTCCTTGCCTCGAATCACCTGTACGCAGTGTCAATTCAATCGCAAAATACCTTAACTCGCAACTTCTAATATCTGAATTTCGTTCGAATTTAACGTTACTCTTTGTCCAATGATATGCCAAGAGACGACCAAAGTGCTTCGATTTGTTTGACGGTAGTGTTGACACTGTTTGCGGCGGAAACAAGAGGCTGATCGTCAGGCAACAAAGATGGTGGTGTTGCTATTGCAGAATATTAGCCGTGACAAGGTATCGAAGTGGCGAATCGTGGACAAAAGAAAAAAAAAAGGAAATAGAAAAAAACATTTGCCAGGACTCACCAGCACGAGTACCAGCGACGTGACACTGCAGCCAGGCGACGACTGCGAGTAACGACCAACTTTTCATGTTTTTTTCTGCACTCGCACAGTTGGCAGCCCCGTGACAAACCGAACCGATTCCTGATCGTAAACGCACGTGCGAACGTCAAGCGAAATCCACGATTATCCTAACTGCTGTGTTTGGCCTGTGCACCGATCCCCGGCGAGTAGGTAACGTTCCTCGACGATTTTTACTTTCGTTGTCGCGACGACGAACGTCCATAGAGCAGAACGACAGTCCTGAAGCTCAAGTGAATTCCGGCTGAGAGTTCATGGTCGGCGGACAACCGACACTTACACCGTCCCGCTTACGAGCCCTGATAACGACTGAACATGGCACGTCGGAGACCCTCGCGTCGCGAGCAAGGGGTTGTGCGCACGTACGGACCGTTGGCCAGTCAGCGCCACCGCACGACCACCCTTAACTTGATAAGCGGGTGACGATCATGAAAATTCCTTGTAAATATGATTAAAGATGAATAGAATGAACGTTCAGGCTTGTCACTTGGCAGGGTGCGAGTGTCATGTAATTTACATTGTAACAGAGATACGATAAAACAGGAATTGATCGAGAGAATGAAGGAGGGAGCGATGAAAGATGAAAGAAAGATACAGTTCGACACGAGACGATGGATAGATAGATATGGTTTTGTAAAGGCAAACAAGCATTAGTAATAAATGCATATATACGTGAGAAGGTATATATATTTACAAGTAGATATGTATTTTACGGTAGATATGTGTAGGATGCTATAGAAGCTCGGAGCCACTCGCAGAAGAAGATATGAACTTCTTATTAATATAGATAAAAGAGTTATGTCTAACTTTCCGCGATGTGGCTTCCTCTTCAAGATATTGCTAGTTGAAAATTGTAGACTGCGACTTCCGGGGCGCGCTGTTTAAACACCAGTCATTTGAGCGTTCGGCCACACATGCTCGTATAGGTAATCAAAAAACAAAGGTCGATACCCCGACACAGATATTTACTATAACCGCCCCGCTACGATTTTTCTACAGTTTTAACGTACTTCTTTCGTAACTTGTTAATACTGTTCCGCATATTTTTATTTCTAAGTAATACATAAATGTTGGTTATATTTTCTACGTTGTAATTTTCACGTGTGCCAACGTATTTAGTTGTAAAATAAATAAGACACACGTATAATTACTTCAAAAATAATCGCAAGGAGATGCTTCATGATGAATTACTAGCAGATTTCTGACTGATTTTCGTAAAACTTATTGACGGTCGTATAAGTACTTGAAAAGTTAACCTGAAGACAAACATGTAAATTAGATATATCATAATGAAATGAATGTTATACTATATTTTTCAAGCCTTACTGTATGCATCACTATATAGTTCTAGAATACATTTTTCAAGTGAAGTGATCGACGTTTTCTATCTTAATATTTGCTATACCTTCGTCCTCTGTCTTTTCCGATCAATTAATAGCCTTTTCTATTCTACCTAAATTTTGACACAATCAATAACGTTTATATGAGATATACCGTGACTTCGAACGTTAATTAGCGTTTCCGATTGACCTGGATTCTTCTTCTGGCGAACTGAACGTAATAAAGTAAAATATTTGTTCGTAACTGTCTTTGTGACAGGAAAGACATTAATGGTGTACAGATATTTATTATACACCGTCTTTCCAAGGACGTTATGCACGCAATTTATCTTATTTTACAATGGATTTCTCTTACATGTAATAATCTATATTAATATTTGTTTAGCAATTATCCATAAATGTTTTAATGAATGTTTCAATGAAACTTTTTTATATACTCATGTGACAGTTGCACACAGCATGGGAACACACTAAAATCATTAGGAAAATCTTAGCAGCACTGTCCCCTATTTTATTTAGCTGACTTTAAAACCATTAAACCCTTGTCTGAAACATTTTTCACTAAAATCACTGCTTGTACAGTGATCAAAGTGGTTCCAGTCACATGCCGCACCCTTATATAAAAAGAGAGAACGAGATATGATGATACAACGATAAGTTAAGTGCAGAGATATTTATCGAGCAAAAACGACAGAAGATACAACGAAACGTAAACGACGATTTAACTTGTCCATGGTGAACTGGTCAACTGCAACTAACATTGTCACAGACTTTCGTCAAATTTCACCCCCGCAACATTAAAAACTTTCTGATCCACGGAATATTTATTTTTCCATTGTTTGAAGCACATTAAATTCTATCTTTGTTAACACATTGCGTACCGGTAACGAGAAATCTCGTTTTTATATAAAGACACTTAGCTATGCAACTTCGATAATTACCACAGCATTGAAAAAAATATAAAATTTAATTGGAATTGATTATCCATTTAAAATATATTACATAACAATATGATATCTGAGTGTTTCTATGTATAGTGATATCAGTTGACCTCAGTGAAAATTGCCATCCGCACAATTCAGTTTTCTGAAAATTAGCCGGTACGCAATGTATTAAATGATATATTTTTCAGCCAGGTTTCAAGAGCTAGATTAGAACAGAATTACTTTCGGAGAATCGTTGGGCGACGGGCAAAAAGTGCTTTCCCTTGTTTCGGGCGCAGGGGATCCATGAACTTGTCAAAAACAGACTCTCTTGGCGACACTCGCGTTCTCGCATCCGAAATGCTTCTCCTTCGTCGTTGTTTACCTTCGTGTAACGCCCGTCTGTGTGTTCGAGTGTTTGTGCGTATTTGCATGCACTATGGCGCGTGCAGGTGCACATTTAAAAAGACGCATCCGGATTGTACTGCGCAGCGAGCACGACTGGCAAACAAACTTTATAACTTTTCCCAGAGATGCAAATATTTCGGTTAAAATTTTGGTAATACATTTTTATGACAAAGAGTAAATTGTAATAAATTTGTATAATTTTTATCTTTATAATAAAAATAAAATTGTAATAAATTTGTACGATCTTTATTTCAGTAATAAAAATAAAATTGTAATCAATTTTTATGAGATCAATACTAAAGAATAATTACTCGTTAATCCCTTAACGTAGAAATTTTTTTGGCGTGCAATGTTATTAACGAGATTCCAGTGAAGCATTAAAATTGTTCCCATTTGATTATCAACTAAAAATTGTCACCGTTCGATTCCTAGTGACAAATTCTTCTCATTTATATAGTAAAAAGAAATCGTACTGTTGAATCTAAAGCAATTAGGTTAAGGGATTAATAAATGTTTCCTTGCAATAATCACAGATAATTTTTTATTTTGAAATAATAGGATAAAATATATAAATAGCGTATTTGTAATATGTGAGAAGTGCTGTACCCGTGGGTTTAGAACGCGGTAATGATAAAAGAAGAGATAGATGTAAACATATACGCGAGATAATCTTATGTTTACAACGACGTTATCAGAGTCTACACACAACAGTTATATATTGATTCACTTTTTGACGGCAAAATTTAAGGTGCATGAGATTAGATAAGTCTATACACAATGATAATTAAATAAAAAAAATGAATGACTTGAATAATCTATGATTGATACTCGGATATTAAATTGCAGATGAATAAATGTTTCCACTTCTAAATATTTCTTTTCTTAAATACATTTAACTTCTATATTCGTCGGTTATAACAATAAATAAATATACGCTTAACCACTTCATATTAAAATTGTGAAAATTACAGAGAAAAATCTGATTTTTCAACATTTAAATCATGCCATTGAAATCTGTTTGAAGACTATTTTAACTCTAAACAACAACTTGTGTAAATACAGAAGATTTATAGTGATAACATTTTTAACTATTCCATTGAAGTCGAGTAATTTATTAATTTTCAAAATACATTACCTAAATACTGTTATCATACCACTTACAGATACGATTTGCAAAGTACCTATTTGTAGTACACTATAGGGTATTATCGTTTCGTTTTTCGAGAGATTACGTTAATCTGAACGCATTAACTTTTATGCACTAATTTTATGCGAGCTCCATAATTATGTTCAACTGGCATTGAGACACTGTAATTTGTCGTTAACGCAGCATTTGAATTTTCTTCTTTGTTTTCTAATTCGACCTACTTTTTTTCCACATTGCTTCGCATATCTCGTTGATTGTCAGTCTTTGCACGATCCACAAGTTTATATTTCCCAGAACAGACATTAAGGTTATTCGAAGGGAAAGAGATCGTCTGAGACTCACGGTCACAGAACGCCAGAGAGGAAAACAGAGAAAGATAGAGGAGACAAAAAGAGAGAGTCAAGAACCCTGAGACAAGTTCAATGTAGACAGCACTTTTAAAGACACCTTATACTTCTTACTCGTTCGGTATCAAATTATTTATACAGATTATTTGACCGCAATTAATAGAATTATTAAACTTTTATGTAGATAGCGAATCGTGAATCATTCGATACATGTCTTTAGCGATAACATCACTTGATGATAAACGATAACGATGACTAATATCGGAGATTTTATGCATGTATAATAATATAAATCTACAAAATTCAATAAAGAAAAAATTTGTATGCAATTTACTCTATTTGCTATGTAATGAAATTCTTAATAAAAGAAATGGACATGTTTCCAATTCTCAATTTTGAAAACTAAGCTATAAAAATACGAATTTAATATAAATTACTATCATCTAATATTCTACTGAATAAATAAAGATAAATATGTAAATAGGATAGAGTACGTAAAACACTATAGATATTTATACTATATTTATTTTACGATAAAAGAAAGCGTAATTTAACTTACACTATCCCAGACACAACAGATGCAGAAGCAACTACTTAAGTACATAAATAAGAAAGTAACAAATTATTAGAGACTAAATTTGAGTAGTATCTATAATGCAAGATAAATAATAAGGAAATAAAAAGGCAACGTGTTTTTTAATATATAGATAAATTAGAAACAACAACTCAACATTGAAATGCAATAGGCACATCAACAAACAAAATTTAAGTAAACCGATAGAAAATATCCCGTACGAAAGTGTTTCTATCGATTGCATTTTATGCTATCTAAAGACTGAGGAACGGGAACCATAATGTTTTTGCGATTCGTCCTCGAAACGGACTTAAGCAAGTTAAGAAAACTTGTGGAGGCCGCCACAACGTTCTTCCTGTCTGAACTTGGCCTGCAGCGCTCGCTACGTTCACGGTATTCAGTGTCGCATCGTGCGTAGATGGTGACGGTTCGTCTAAGAGGAACGTACCGATAATCCGAGAAGCCGAGTCGCCATTCGCTGGGGGTGACGAAGAGAATTCGCGAGCAGAATTTCTCGTCGCGCCCTAGCCGGGTGTAGACGTCTCGGGGGAAAAGCGGGAAAATTCGATCACTCAGCCGTAACTGACACTATGGCGAATTTGAGACAGACTCCGCTGACGTGTAGCGGACACACAAGGCCTGTGGTGCATCTTGCGTTCTCCGACGTCACGGAATCTGGGTATTACCTGATCTCGGCCTGCAAAGGTAATTCTTCGCTGACTTTTCCTTTCGTCACGAACCGTCTAGTTGTTTTGTCCAGTCTCAATCGATTCTCCTTCTTCTTCTCCTTCTCCTTCTTACTCTTCTTCTTCTTCTTCTTTTTCTTCTTCTTTCGACACGCTCGATTCTTGATCTCCTTGGCCTAGTTCCCTTCGAACGCCAAGGTTTTACTGAGTTACGGGTTCCGAGGTTAGATATCGCATGTTTGGAATGTTATGGGTTTATAGAAGAGAATCGCCTGTATCGTGTCACTTAACGTGGTCACGGTTTTGAGGATGATTTGTGCACTTCACTTGTATCCGCTTTTCAAATCGCATATTTTTATTTGCATAGTGGTTTTCCCTACTTCCTCAATTACGTTTAATGACATTACATAAACATAGAATTACTATTGATCTGTCATTAATTGGTGAATCACCATTTAAATATCTTATTCTGAAATCCCTCGGCTAATTTAATTTTATCCAGAAATTAGGAACATTAAAGAGTTTTCTGTTATGTGCTGTAGATCGTGTTATATTATTGAGTGAACATAACAGTAATCATATTTCTACTTATATTAATGTTTGTTCCATTGTTCTTTGTTTGCTGCTTTAATTTTTTTTAAACAAACTTTACTTAAGTTATTATAAATATTAATATATTAATATTATTAGATGTAATTTAGATATTGTTTGCTTATACTTTGTTGAATAACATTTTGTATCATTTATTTTCATAGAAATTGCATTGTGATAAGTGTTTTGAAAGGATTATTCTTACATTTCGTTTTGTATATTGTAACCTAACATTTTATTTTAGTAGATGTTTAGACTTTCTATTTCAAGTATCATATATTTCTAGTTGCTAATTGTTTGTATCCTTTATTGTACTGTAAAAGAATAATGTTAATATAAATAACTGAGGACTTTTGTCTGACATTATGCATTCATGAAAGTATATGTAAGATTTCTTATCTACATTAGTATAAGATCATTTTGATTATTGAAACTTAAAAGAAAATTTTATACGATTTTTTGTTCTCTCAGTTTACAAGAATCACAAAATATTCCAAAAGTTGCAGTATAATTTTCCATTGTTATTTGAATAGTAATTAATTTGCAAATATACTGTTTACTGTTTCAATATCAAAATTTAATGAAAGCAATAGATAAAAAAAAATCAACATTCAAAAAAAGTATTAAATGTATGTATTGATTGTTTTTGTGCAAGTTTCACATTTTTTAAAATTTCTGACTGAAAGATTTACATTAAAGTTTATTCTCCTGCAATCGTGCAATGATAGGTTTATTACATTGGAAATAAAATGAAGATATATTAATAAATTGGTGGAATTTGTGTGTTACTATAGTTTACATGTTTTCATGCATCAGACATATATAAAATTTGCAGTTCAATTGAAATTAAATCGTTGAGAAATTATTGAGTAACTTTAATTTGATATATACATATAAAATTTCTATGAAAACATTGTAGCTTCTAGTTGTGTACTAAAACAAGCTTCAAGCTTATAGTAGTATTTAAAATGTATGTATAGATGGGAAACCTATGCTACGTCAAGGGGATACTGGAGACTGGATTGGAACATTTGAAGGACACAAAGGAGCGGTGTGGGGTGTTGCGTTGAACCCTGAGGCTACTAGAGCTGCTTCGGGTGCTGCTGATTTTAATGCTAAAGTCTGGGATGCTATTAAAGGAGAAGAAATTTATTCCTTTCAACACAAACATATAGTCAAGTCTGTCAATTTTAGTACTGATTCCAATTTCTTGTGTACCGGATCCAATGAGAAACTTGTACGAATTTATGATCTCAACAAACCAGAAGCAGCTCCACAGGTATTTAGCGATATCTATATCTAAGTTGATCAGAAATATTTTATCTAATAAATAATGTTAACAGGTTTTCTCAGGTCACAGAAATGGTATAAGACATGTTACTTTTTTCAATAATAACACTCAATTAATAACCTGTGCCGATGACAAAACATTAAGAGTCTGGGATAGAAATAGTGGTCAGGAAATAAACTGGTTAGATTTTCCAGCAATTCCAAGTTCTATGGAAGTGTCTAGGGATGGAAACATAATTACAACTACTCATTCCAACATAGTCAGTTTTTGGAATAGTAGAGAGTACGTTCATTTCATTATGTATTCATACAAAATGAGTAAACTATATTGTAACTATGAAGATAATATAAACACTAAACTAATGAAGTACACATACTGTACTTCATATGTACTTACTAGAAGATACATATTGACATTCACATTATATTTGTAAATCAATTCCAGTAATTCGTGATTAACCTTGACTTACGAAGATATTTTCTTCACGTAAAGCTGTTATACTTCAATGGGATTTATGTATTTCTTAAATACTAATTATATTATTATTTTTTCAGTTTAACCAAATTACGAGAATACGTTGTACCAACTCAAATGAATAGTGCCAGTTTACATCCAGATTGCAGTATTTTTGTATGCGGTGGGGAGGACCTGAAAATGTACAAATTTGACTACAGTACAGGAATAGAGATCGGTAAAATTTGATTTCTAATGAAATTAATATACATGATGTTTTCTATCTTTTATTGTGTTTATAAATATTTAAAAAATGTTCTAGAATCATTTAAAGGGCATTTTGGGCCAGTCCATTGCGTACGTTTTTCACCAGATGGTGAACTATACGCAAGTGGCTCCGAAGATGGTACACTGAGATTATGGCAAACGACTGTTGGCAAAACTTATGGTCTTTGGCGATGTATAGAACAAGCACCCATAATGCAAGATAATGCTGCTGTGCTTAATAATAAACAAGAAGTTTCTGCCAGTTAAAAGTCAGGGAATTCATGATTAGTGGAACAAAAAAAAATACTTTGACAGTGGAAAACAGACACTTACTGAGTGGAAGTGAAATAGGACAGCAAGGAAAGAATCTCGAAATTTTACTAGCTGGTAATTGTCATAGCTCTGTAAATATGGGGGATCTCTGTAAACTAAGCTCCATTCTGAATCAGGCTGTTGCACGTGATACTCTGGAGAAGACTTAAAAAGCGGACCAAACTTCATGGTAGTCTGATAGGACATGGAAGTGTGGGACATGCCGTTCACTATTTATTACAAGGAAAAAAGAAAAGAAACAATTAACATTTATTAGTGTTATACATGCCCATTATTATAACTACAAAATTAGATGAAGGTGTAACGAGAGAAAGAAAAGGAAACTCGACATGAAATTTTGTGTTCGCATTTGTTATTTTGCAATAATAATTACTATACAAGTATAAAAACGTTCTGTCTGGTACACTGCCAGTGTATCTCCCTCTAAAAACACACGTATCACTCATCCAACCAATGTAATATAATATTCACATTTCATCCCTTCAACAATGTCACAATATTTCCAAACACCGTGACAATTTATTGGTATCATCTTTGTCTTCGCTTAGTAAGTACGTACTACGAGATTACTGTACAAATTTTTTTTTAACTGACAATGACACCTTTTACACAGCTACAATGAGCGAGAAAAAATTTTTATACACTACTTTCTGCTGCTGACATATTACATTTCTTATAAAGGGACTGCCAGAGTTCGGGCACTCATTTGAAGTGGGACTAAAAATACAAGTTGTAATATACGTTTAGTGCTGTAAAATTTGTATGGCACCGTTCGGAATTGGTTTTCATTTTTAATAAATTTAAGGTAAAAATGTTGCATTTCTTATGTAGTAATTTAGTTATAAAATGAAAACTGCACTCGTAACAGCCACATGTTTGTTTACTACATTAGTAATACATTAAAATTCGAAATTCATTTCATGTATTTTTTTTAATGAATATTTTTACTATACGAACATTAATATTATCAAAATTAATATCTTATTGATACTTCTTACATTACAAAAATATATATCGCGTATCACGTATATAAAATAATATGTAATATTTAATACTTGTTACTTACTAATAAAATTTTATTTGGTTAATAATATCGATAATAGTTTTGTAATGTGAGAAATGTTGATACGATAATAAATATTCATAATATTGATATCAATATATCTATTATTATAACAATAACAAAAATACAAAATTTTATCTGATACATTGGCACTGCAGCAATAGTTGTTTCCTTTTATCATTCATCTTATAACTGAGTTACTAACAACATGCAAAATTTTTAATTCAAATTTTTCAAGAGCAAAGTCAAATTCTGAGGAACGCTATGAGAGTGTTGTTGACACAGTACATTTCCTACTTATACTTATGTAGTATCATGCTAAAAACGATTCTTACATCCTGATACTCTCCTTATTAATGTAACAACTAAATTCGAAATTCTTATTAATAACTTTCACGTTGGAAATAACACTAACAGTCTATAAAGAAAGCCAGCAGTGTATGAATCCCTTTTCTCTCTCACTGCGTAAGTGTATTAACCGTGTATCTTATTTTTCCGGGAGTACGCACTTTCTTCTGCGAATCAAATGTCCCTTACACTCTACACAAATAATCCTATATAGTAAACACAACAATGAGAGGTATTTCTTTTAAAAAACAATAAAACACGGTGTACTGGAAGTGGATTTCGAAATAAGTCCACGTGGGTACATAATCGTACTCTTCAAAAGTGCAATGGGAGGAAAAGGCTGTACACGCGATAACACACAATACGTCATTGTGTGCCTGTCAGTTCAATAAACAAAACCGAGTATGGTCACCATCATTGTACGGGGTTTTTTCAAATGAAAACGACGTATCTCTCGCACACGATAGTTAATAAACAATTTCAACGAATTCTTGTTTCGTTCAACCTATGAACTGCGAGAGATCGGGCAGCTTGAAGCCATTGAAGGAGATCGGCGTCGGTGCGCTCCTAAGGTTGTTTCTGTGACCTCCGAAGCCAGGAAAACTGCTCGGTGTTGTAAATTGTTGGAGTCTCGATGTAGCTTCAGTAGCAGCTAAAACGAAGCCGCACTGTGCCGTGCAGACGTCATCACGTAAAATGGCCTCCCTGGATGCTTCTCGAAGGAGCTGATTGCAATCCGTGATCCTTAAGGATGCGCATCGAGTCTGAAAGCAAAGAAATATATAATTACAGGCGCTATTTTTATAAATATCATTTTTTATCTACATTCTACTGAATAATGAAAATGTAAAGAAATAATTGAAGATTAAAGCAAGCCACATAATAACATTAACACGCCTTCTTACATGATAGATTTATTATAAATCTATTTTGGTTGAACCATAGTTTCTTTGATGACTTTCCTATCTTTATAAATAAAATAAAATTTAGAAACTTCACAATTCAAATATGATTAATATAGAAAAATTACTTTTAAATATAAACAAATTATAATTATTAAAAATATGAAAATGACGAATCTTTTCTATTGAAAAATGCAGTTCGGTTAAACTATAATTTAAAAATAAATTTCACTCGTATAGTATTTAGGATGTGAATCTGACTTCCTGTAATTCATCCATCTTGAATTTATTGTTGATAATTTATTAAGGAGCAGAAAATTATTGTTTTGTACAGGAACTTATAAGTTCGAGAAAAATTTCGTAGTTAATTCCAAAAGCTTCCACTATCAACATTGTATGGTCTTTCTAAAGTCCCAAAGACTCCATCGCAGCTTGCCCTAACCTCAAGTTGAGCGGATAATGTCTAGGACAAGAACTTTTCAAGGCACCGCGGAAACTTCAAAGAATAAATACTCACGCCCTCAGCTGTACAGACGCAACTGGTGCACGGTGTGGGGAAACCGGATTCTCCCAAGGCAACGTTCCTTCCTCCAATTTGACAGCCATGTCTGGTCTCTCTCCAAGCAGACAAATCTATGTGCGGCATGGAACTACAAGGGACACGTGGATTAAGGAAGTTGCTAGGTAAATCAAACGCCGCTCTTTGCATGTCATTGTGTTCGTCCATGTTATCGCACATTACTTTCGCCAGAGTCGTTTTGCGCAACTCGGCCAGTTGATGCTCCGTAAACCGTATGTTTGGGTCGTCGGTTTCGTACCAGAAGCGATCGCACTTCCTCGACTGTCGGAACTGTATGGCTATAATACAGGCAAAGGTGGGTCCAACTAAACCACCTTGTAGAGGTCTTTCGCTCATGCCACCCGGGAAAAGGTCAATGTCATCCACAGAGGCGTAGATGCGTTTCATGCGAGCTATCACTTCCGGTGCCATTTCCCTGGACAGGTCTTCAAACGTAGTGGCTCGCTTTAGGTTGCACAACGCTCTGTAATTATTATACGACGGTATTCCGTGGTCCCTAGCACGATGAATGTTCAGAGCGATCAAGTCGATACCGGAATAGGGAATGCCCCGAATTTCAAACAGGTGATTGGTAACTTCTCCGGTTATGAACTGATCCAAAGTCTCCATGGGGGTGGCTACCAAGCCTCGGACCATCTCGTCTAGCATGCCTTGACGGTAAAGCATGTCGGGATCGAAGAATCCATCTCGCAACAAAATGGACGGCTCTATAGACTGATAATTTCGATCCATTCGCGGCAGATGCGGTCTCAAGAGCGAGTGCCCTATCCGATAAGCAGCGCTGGCGAACTCGGTGACCACACTCGGATTACAAGTAGGCGAGTACTCCTTGTAGTAACCTTGAGGAAGGAGTTTCAGACCGTAAAGGGTGACCGCGTTCCACCCGAGAATCCTCGGCAGAAACTCGTTATATGTGATGTGTTGCAGCATGGCGCTGATGATGCGACGAGACTGTTGGAACAGTTTCTCACCGTCCCAGTGTGGGTTCACTTGTCTCAACCCGTCAACGATTCGGTTATGTTCGCGTATCCAAAACGTGTGCATGACCGTTAGAGCCGGCTGTTCAGAAGCGCGGCCATCACCGCCAATGAAACAGAACCCGGACTTCGCTTTACATTCGGGATGGGTTGCCGATTGCGGCAGAAGATCCTTCGCGGCGCGGTGCGGACTCTGCGTAATGTTCATACGGCCATTGAAACCTCGGAGTACGTTGCAGATGCATGTGTTCTCGCCGTAAATCACGGACCCATCCAGGAAAGCGGTGTTTTGATTAATCTGCTCACGTGGACCCAGATGCTGTTGACCCGGCAACGATCTCATCGACGGGAAACACATTCGCGCACCAGAAGACACGTTCACTGTTGGATAATAATGATCGCCAGGTGGGACTGGGAATGGGCTGCATTCAGGATGCACGGTTCGGGGAGAGTCGCAAGGACGACAGCTAGGTATAGACTCCGCGAAGCCCTTGTGGATCGGAGTCATCGTGAGTTCGTGGTCCAGGAACTGCGCGTACTGCATTACCATTAACGTGTACCGGTTATGAAGGTTGGAGATGTCGGGATGCATCACCGTCGAAATCACTCTAGGATTGGGTAGAGGCGCCCCAGTGATCGATGTGGCTCTCGGTTTTGATACACCGTCTTCGTAGACCGGTGGTAGTAATCTGGCGAAAGTCGTCAACGATTTGCCGAGATTAGGGTTGCGAAGATTATTGCAATGGCCTGAGAGAGTTCTATAGGGAGTTGTAGGATCGCATGGGCTGTCGTCAACAGGACAATCCACTTCGTCGTGATTCGTTGGCTTACTCTGGGCCAGGAATCCGGATATATCAACGTTCTGCAGTAAATCGGAGAAGTCGTTGCTGGGGAAACCGAGAACATTGTCAGTAGTGTCGAACACTTGTCGTTTTCTGCGTCTCTCTCCGTGTATAACGTTCAAGATCTCATTAGTAGCCAGCTCGTACATGATTGACGAATTAGCCAACAGCAGAGCATCCCTATTAGCTTTAGAGAAACTGGCAGCAGTGCCGGCCGGGGATTTAGGATCTGCTATCCTCTGTTGCAACCAGGAATTGTACTCCAATTGTTTCCTCTGAATCAAGTCGGCTTCCGCCTTCTTCACAGCCGCTGCTATCAAACTGGGATTAAGTTCGGGTACCGAACCTTTTTTCACAGGCTCGCTTATGTAGTCGTCCTTGATAGGTTCCTCCGGCAGAGGCTCCTCTCTCCAAGCATTCACGTCGAGTACACTATGTTGATCGCAATCGATCCTCGCGTTCAAGTACGGATCCTGCTGGATGAATGCCTTGGGCTGAATCTTTTTGATGTCCGTGTTCGCGCAGAGGATACCGGCTAGAGAGACTTTCCTGACTTCAGCCAACTGCGCCGGACTTAAACTCGATGGTGGAAGGTCGTTCTCGTACCAAAAACGGTCCGAGTTTCTCAATTTCACGAACTGCCTCTTTAGAAGGCACTCGAACGTTGGCCCCACAGCAGCACCTTTTGTCGGGATCTCCAGAATACCACCCAGGAGCAGGTCTATGTCCTCCACCCCGGAGTAAATAGACTCTAGCAACTTCGCGTGCTGCGGACGCATCAAGCGTTCCAAGCCTACGAAATTGCGAATCTGTGAAATCAAGTTATTTATATAAGGTTACGAACGCTTTTTATCCTTTTATCAACTGTTTATAGACTTGAGATCGATTCTTAATAAACGTCTACCCTTTCCCTTAACTGCATTGCTAATTATCATTAGATTCTTCTACCAGTCTAAAAAAATCTTCTTCAAAGATCTTAAAAGATGACCCAAAAACGAAGGTTTTTCAAACGTTACCTTAAGTCCACTATTATTTTATAAATTTCGAATATCCGTATATCGAAATGTACAGAACGTCTTGAATGTCAACATCTTCGACGTCCCATATTTGCGACACCAATTGCCAACTCGGGTCAAAATGTTTTCGCTATTAATCTCATGATAAACCAACATTTGATACAAAAATTAGTTCCAAACTTAAGGCCCCCAAAAGAGGCGACTTTTTAGGTCACCCTTTACTCAGTAAACCTGTACATCTCGAAAACTTTTAAACTGATCCATAGACTGTCACGACCATCGAGAATATCGTTAACCTACCGTGACATTATTTCCGAAACAATCGGCGACAAAATGGACGTATCCGGGCAGGCCGTGGTCGCGGCCTATGTGAACGTAACGGACGTTGGCGTCCAGGCGAGGCTCGAAAGCGGACTCGCTGAGATCGAGGCTGACGCGGTTGGCCGAGGCGACCACGTGGTCCTCCAGGCACGTGGCGTCGTTGTACCCGTGTTTACGCAGGGACGTGAGAGCGCGGAGCGCGGCCAACGCGACCGCATCGTAAGTGCCACCCACGTTCGCGGACGAGTAACCGCCGAAGAATCCGCTCGAGACTGGCATCAGCTCGGGATCGGTCCGAGCGCCTTCCCCGAGGATGCTGGGCAAGTACTCGTTCAGAGTGACATGTTGAATCTGGGCTACGACGACTCTGCGCGCCTCCAGGAACAGCTTCGCGTCGTCCCAATGCTTGTTCGCGTTGGCCAACTTCTCTGCTACTCGATTATGTTCGTTGAGAAAGGCGGCGTACATCGTCCCCAGCGCTCTGTCCTCGGTACTGTTGCAGACCTCGCAGGCGGACACGTCCACTTTCCCCTGACTGAATGTTCTCAGTTGGTGTAGCTGTTCATCGGTGGTCCCGTAGATGTGTGAACCGTCCAAGTAAGCAGACGCGCCATTCATCTGCTCCCTGCCCGCGAAATTGCAGTTGTGCACGCTCAAGCTCGGCACTGATCGCCAGTAATTGGTGCATCCGCCTTCTTCGTCGCGGATCTCGAAACACTCGGGGTGCTTTGATGTCTTCGAGCAGCAGAGATTCGACTGACCCGCCGGGTGCACCGTGATCCCGATATCTTGGAGCACCAGCTCGGACCAGACTCCGGAGAAACTCGTCAGACCCTCATGAGCTTCCGGTACTAGCTGCAGGTAGTTTATGATGGACGAGACTGCCTTCGTGGGCGTTGGCAGCGCGTGATTCCTCCTCGTTGATTGTCGGGGTGCTGCGATACCTGGGAAGCAACAACGATTTTGGGGATGTTGAGTATTATAGCGTAGATACTGTGTGTTTATAGAATATAATGCTTAACATGTTCGCTACCAGTATCACATGTTTGTGACGGCCGTAATCCTATATTTTACCCAATGAAAATGAAATTAGTCCTATCGATATTGTTATTACAAATTATAAACTACGACATTATATTTAGGAACTCAATGATTCGTTTCAGTTTCATTTTTTAAATATTTTTTTCAGAAGATTTATTGGATTGAAGAAAATATTATAATTGAGGAGACCGTCACTGAAATAAGCGCTGGTAGCGAACGTGTTAATGTAGTTAATTTATTCTTACTTTAGTCATTACTGCTATACTGAATAGCAAGCAATTTTGAACATTTTGATTTTAAACGGAATCACATTAGTTATATCAGATCTTATCTGAGTATTTAAATGAGTATTTCACTCTGAATTTTAAATACACGTTTCTGTAGTCCTTCTGTATCTTCTACAATTTTTTTAAACGAAATAAATTTTCTTTTTCATTTCTATTTTTCTAAATTACACTTGAACAATTTTATTTTGCACAAAGGTCTACAGATTGGCGATCACAATTATACTTTTCATGCATTAAAGATGTATAAAAGTCAATTTAATTTAATTTTATGTGTTTTGATATTGAAACATTTATGAACGAGAAATAATTTTGTATCAGATTTTGATCACCATTCTGATTCCAAATTTCTACAGTTGGATTATTCAATTTTCTTTTATTTCTTTTACAAGAACAAAATCTAGTGAGAAGGAATTCATACCTTGAATCCTTATAATTTCCTTATTAGGTTAAAAACTAAACTTGGCTACACCAGCAATTTTAAAACTCAATTTATATCTACTAATAAAAAGACGAAAATTATTTTTCTATATGATTTAACCGAATGTATTCTTCAAGTAATAAAACTGCAGTAAGTATTTGCTTAAATTGGATTTCATTATCTATGTATTATGATTCTTTAATAAAGTAATATGGAATTTCCTGTATCCCAATAAAATATTTTACATAACGATGTTTCCCTTATAATTCTTTCAAATTATATTTCTTACAATTGGACTGCGAATTTTATATTTTCAAGGAAAATGCAGGCGTAAGACACAATAAAAGAAGAAGTGCAGTAAATGATATTACAATTTTATTTTACGTCTTAATTAATTTCTCGAAGGAGGCATAAATATTTTTAGAAAATTCCAACGTCGTGGAATTAGGTGTTTCGTGAAAAAGTGCAATCCCGAAGTCGCGATTGCATTCGACCGAAAAAGAGTATCATTAAAACAAATAATCAGATAAATAATCAATTTAAGATAAGATAAGGCAAATGATCAATTTAAGATAAAAAGAAAATTTGAATAGCAAATTATTTCTGTAATTCCTCGGGAAATGAAACACGATTAAAAAAAGATACGGCGTTGAAAGTAATAAGGTACGACGCGAACGTATTTGCAACGACGTCGTCCGCTCATAAAATTAATGGCGAGTCTGAATGATCATGACGAAACGCTTTCGATTTCTAATAAGCGTTATTTGGTTTCAATGTCGAACATAATCGAGAGGTGAACACTCGGCAGTGGCGGCGGCCTAGAAAGTCGCGATGAATTTCGCTGTCTTCGACGTCAACGGGAATTCGAGTGTGTATCGTTACGGAGTAAAATAATCACGCGCGTTCGAAATAGAAAGTACTTTTATACGAATTATTTCGCGAGATCGATTCAAATCAGTTCAAGTAAATAAGATCCTTGTTATTAGACAGTTATGCAGTTACCCAAATTAACCAACGATCGGACTTGAAAAAATCTGAACTCAAAATATATCGATATAGAGTACAAATTACGAGGACCAGCGATTAGCACTTAATCCAATTAAAAAAAGTTTTGAATTCTGAAATAGAAGATAGGTAAATGGGAGAATTCTACAGAGAATAAATGAATGAACGCAAGCAGTGAAAGGTTAGATCAATGAAGTTAGAAAGAGGATGGATGCTATGGACAATTTATTATAAATTTGGGTATTCTCAGAAGAAAATTGAGAAAACAAGTGATTAATGAATAATTTAGAGTGAACATTTCATGTATATTTTAATATGTCCATATACGTTGATCGACTGAAAACTCGATAAACGACGAAATAAAGAAATAAAGTGCAGGAAGTTTCAAGTTACTAAAATTCACCAGCGGGGTGAACACTTTTGCTTCGATAAAGCTGATCATAAAAGCAGATCATCACTTCTACAGGTTTCAATTCAGGAATAAGGATGGTAAGACCATCAGAGCCAGGAGACTTATGAAGCCAAGTTTTTTTCTTTTATTTTGTAATGATTATTCAAGCCGAGCTGCAATAAATTTTTCATTACACTTGACACTAATATACCAGCTTATTTTCCAATTACCTAATTCAGCGGAGATTCGACTGTGAGCCGAAGCGTGCAAGTTTCTCCGATCAGAGGACGAAAGTTAGGGGATCAGGTCAGCGAAAGTCGCTGAATCGCCAATCACGTTGCAGAAACCGAACCGCTAACGCCGAGGACGAACAGGCAGGACCAACCGCGAAATTCTGTGTCATGGTTACGCATTGCTGTCCGTATTCGATGAATCTCGCGGCGAAGTAGGCTGACTGTCAGCCTTCCTACGCGAGGATCAGCATCTCCCGGCTCGAAGTCCGAACTCTGGCCAGGCCTCTACGCTCTCTAGCTTCTCGTCTATCGTTTCCTCGAACGCGCGAAAATATCCGCGTAACGATGTGAAAAAAGAGGCGAACAGTTTGAAAAGAGGTCCAACCTTGTCCCTAATTAGACTAATTATTGCTCAGAGAAGCATGGAAACCCTCGTCGTTTCGATGTTGTTGCGAACGACGCAAACCCGGAGACTTTCCTGCTCGGGACAGTTGACCGAGCACGTACGACGAAATTTTTGTTCGGATCCCGCCATCTCGAAAATTCTGAAATGTCAACTAGCTTGACCTTTCACTGATGATGGACTGCGGATGAATTTTTAACGACTGCCCCAGCATTCGTCGGGGAACTTTGACGGACCTCTTGCCCTGGAAATTCATTCGGAGATTTAGCAGTCTCGTGCGAAGAACTTTTTCACCTATTTTACGCAGATGTGCAGATTAATTTTGTTTGTTAATCATTTTGTATAGAGTAATATATTTGAAAACAATCTAGTGTGTGTAATGCAATAAAATTATAGGTGTGTGTAAGACGTTATTGGCAATTTTAGAACGAAAACGTCTCGACGCGCGTGACACGTCTCTTTTGTGCAAGAGGTTAACTGTCAAATCAGTGTCTATAAAGGTCTTATGTAAACGCAGTGGTTTATTCATTGAAACAAGGACTGTAATTTCACGCCACGTGTAAAATATGTTCTGGATGTTGGAAAGTACGCGAAAAAGTTGTAAAGGGAAACAGAGTTGGTAACAAATTAACGCATACCATGATGGCTAATGTTCAGGAAACTGGGATGTACCAGCGACGATTTTCAGTGAAATTAACTTATATTGCTGCACGTTGGAAAATTCTAATTTTCTCGGGAGTTTCTCGCGAAGTTTCCTTTTGAACGCTAATTAATATTAATCGCGCCTGCTTGACTTCATCGGACAGACATTTTTAATGGACTATTAATGTCTGTTTACACTATTTGCACTATTTGCAGCACTCGCGTGGCAAGAATGGTAAGAATTTATGAAAAATATTTGCTGAGGTCAGTTAGGAGATGGTATGAAAGGAAAAAGTGAAGGCAGGGAACTGATGTTGATGATGTTTCGAATATTAAAATCCTTTTTTTTAAGAATGGTGAATAGAAAATGGCATACAAGCATTGAAATGAAACTAAAACCTCAAGAAAATAGAATATATGTCTATATGTCTTATAAAGGATGAGTCAGATTGATTTAGTTTTTCGAAGTTTTTGTGATAATGGCACTTAAGTAAAGATTTTGATACTTGTTCTTACAAAATAGTATACTGCACCAGTTCAGGTATTGTCTGTGATATTCATTTTTGTTGGTACATAATAGCACAGGCCATATATTATATCAAAATTATGTAATTCTTATGTCATGTTATCTTGCAATAAATATTCTAAATGTTGTCGAAAAATAACGATGAAACTCTAAGAGAAAAGAAAGTAGAACCTTCTTATGTAAAACTTCCGATAACAAATAACGCTATTCTGAATATGAAATTATCATACTTAAATTTAAAAGTTTATTTTGCATCTATACCTATTAACTATAACTGTCAGTATATTTATGCATTATTATAAATCTAGTTATAGTTGATAAATTCATTTACAAACGTCATATATGCCGGTAGAAACGTATTAAATAACGTTTCCATAATTTCTGTTTGAATGTCTTGGAAGATTTAGACAAGTTTCACGTATAAAAATAATTCTGTATTATGTCTATCAATTTTTAAACATTTCTACTTTCCTCCAACAAATTGTTTATAAGTAAAAAAAAATCGTGACCTTTTATAAAAATTACAAGTAGATTTCCAATGAAATGAAAATATTAAGAATTTTAAGCCATAAAAGACAGTTTCTTATGTTCGAATGTTCTTGTTGAAATTTAATTATAGTCCGCTGTAGAATAAAATATGTAAAAGAAACTCGTTTCAATAAAAATGTTGAATATCAAATTACATTAAAGTATTCTAAAAAAGTCGGAGACCGAGAATTTTCGGTTTTTTTAAAGGTGTCGTGTTCTTCCTTAAACAATATTGTCTGGCAGAGGTTCCGGCGTATTTTGGGTCACGCTCGGTCCACGGGAGTCGCTTTCTTCGTTCTTTTCACTTTCATATTTTCGTTGGGATTTTTTTCTTCTTCGGAGAAGAAGTGCCAGGTG